ATGTATCTTTTCCCACGGCAAAGTCCTTTGTAACCTCTGTGTTGGAATGGTCCCAAAGCAGTATGTTTGAGGATTTGGAATTGGAAGGGGGAAAAAAACCAAACATTTATTAACTGCTTTCTATGTACTATCATTGCTTTCATATAGTTCGTCTTATTTTATTCTTCTTTGTGCCTCGAGAGCTAGCTAGTAATTAATGCATTTGTTTGGCAGGGAAATAGGCTCAGAGAGGTTAAGAAACTCAGCTCAGGGTCCACAGCTGATAGGTGCCAGAGCTGGGATTTAAATGTAGATAGATTGGGGGTGGAGATATAGCTCAGTCTGCAGAGTGCTCCCCTAGATTGGGTGTGGAGATGTAGGTCAGTCTGCAGAGTACTCACCCAAAAGTCCTGAGTTCCATCCCCAGCATTGCATCAACCAGGTGTGACAGTAAAGGCCTGTAATCCTAGCACTCAGGAGGCTGAGGCAGGAGGATCACAAGATCAAGGCTTTTGTCAGCTACGGAATGAGTTCAAGGCCAGCCCGGAGAACTTAGGAGAAACCCTGTCTGAAAATCGAAGGTAGGGGCTTAGTGTTTAGTTCAGAAGTATGGTGTTTGCCTAGCATGTGGGAGGCCTTGGGTTCAACCTCCAGTAACACACACACACACACACACACACACACACACACACACCATGGGACTTATTTCAAAGCAGGTGCTGTGTCCTATTTAAGTCCTGACTCAGCTGTCACAAGCCCTGTGACCTTGGGCAGGTTTCTTAGCTTTTCTGTGTTCCATTTTCTTTTCTGTATGAGGGTGATAATCTCGCCTCTCATAGTTGCCAACTGGAAGAGAGAAAGAGTTGTAAACTGTATGGGTTAGTTTGTAATTAGCACTGGAGACTGACTTTCCACGGGAGAGTGGGTGCAGTCTCAGCATGGGTAGAGGGCCTAGCATGGTGGGGACCATAGTGACTGCTTCCGTGGGTGTTCTGGCGGTGAAGCAGGAGTCTAACAACTCTATTTATGTGGCACGGGCCAGGCCCTTTCCTGGGGGCTCTTTTCCACAGCATATGGAGCTGGCCTGTCCCTTGCCTCTGGCCTGATTTCTGGGAACTGCCATGGTGACTTTAAAGCCCTTGGAGAAAAGGGCCACCTGCTTCAACGTGAGGCCGGTGCTGAGGGCTGTGGCAGAGGAGAGGGAGGATGCATGCGGGATGACCCCTCAGCCTCTCAGGGCAGGGCTGCTGGAGTCCAGCACAGAGGGACAGAGGCCACTGTGGGCTGCCCAGGGGCTGGCTTTTCCTCTGAAAGTTCCGGGGGCCCTCTGTGCTGCCCTTCCAGAGGTCTGTGTGGTGCAGTTCCTTTGCCCTGTGACATCAGGAGCCGTGGTGAAGATTGAGATGTGCTGAGTCTTGTAAGGGTGCGACCGCTCAGTTTTGCTGGTGTCTGGGCATACCATTCATTTCTACTGGCCTTTGGTGTGAGCAGAGCCAAACTTAGTGAAGAAATGTCCCCAGGGAGCTGCTGAGGAGGTCCTGACAGGCCCGGGGGTTGCTGCAGTTGGGTGGTGGAGTCTAGGTCAAGAAATGACTTTCTAATAAGGTGTCCGTGGGGGCCAGAGAGAAGATAGCATGGAGGCCACAGCCATAGGGTCTACATGGAATTTTCTAGGCCCTCTGGCCTGTTGGTGCCTAGATGGATTGGATGCTCAAACTTCTGGGCCTTGAAGCCCTGTGTCTGTAATTCCTGGGACTCCTTTGGCATTGGGACCTAACGTGGACAGAGTCCCTCAGTCAGCTGCCAGTGGTTGCTGCTAATAGGGAATCTGATCCATGGCTGTCTGTGCTCCTTGACAGTCCACTGTTACCACCCTTCTTTAGCGGGATCACCTCCTACCTCTGCAGTCTGTGACGTGCTGGGAGTGGGTCCCAGGCTCGGCTGCTGAGGGGGTCCTGACACCTGTAGCGATCTCAGGCCACATATGCCTCCTACAACAGGAATTCTGGTTACATCCGAACTGTCCTGTGGCATGCATCTTCCTAGTCTCACGGAGTTTGGGATAGAAGCCCAGAAAGGAAATGATTTGGTCCAAACACAGTGGTGTCACTGTGGGAGAAGAGGTCCTGTGCTGTACTGTCTCCTTTATGTTGACAATGCTTTGAAAGGAAGGCTGAGACTCAGCTCCGAGACACAGGAGAACTTCCCCACAGCTGAGAGTCCTGCTGGGGAGAGGTTCAGGCTTCTGTGCAGAGCTGTGGTGTTAAGTGAATCCACGAGAGTCTGTTAAAGGGCATCAAGGATTTATTAAGATATAAAATGGGGAGAAATACACTCACGGATACAGAACAAAGTAAACAGCCATTGTCGTCCTCTATTCTGCCTGGGGATGAATGGAACCAGCCATCCGGTCTCCGACCACCCCAAGAGAGAGAAAGCGTGCACCCCCTCCTCAATTTTAAGCAGTCACGTACCCAGAAATACCAAGCCTCTATCGGGCCAGATACTCCAAGGTCATTGGCGGAGCAAATTTCCACAACACTGTGGGTTACCGGGGAGGGTTGGGAATGAGCCACTGTCCCCAAATCTTAGAGGCCTCTGTGTGTAGGGATGATCAAATCCCTCTTGGGAGGGTCTGTAAACATCCTGTCAGCAAAACTGTATTCATGGAGCAACTCCTGAGTCCTGGAGACTGTGGGGGCTGCCACAGGGGGACAGAGGAGGCCTCCAGTGCCATGAAAGAGAGCTTGGGCAGAACTCTGTGCTGGTGAATGTATGGTGCCCAGCTGAAGGTTGGGTTGGGGGAAGGGGAGGGAACTTGAGTCCCAGAGAGTATGGGTGGGCTGGGGGTCTGTCAGGGGGCCTCCCAGGAAGGGACACCTGGGTTGGAGGATGTGAAGGAGATCACCAGTCAAGAGGAGTGTGTGTGAGATGTACGTGTGTGTATGTGTGTGTGTGTGTGTGTGTGTGTGTGTGTGAGAGAGAGAGAGAGAGAGAGAGAGAGAGAGAGAGAGAGAAACTTTGAAGTCCATGAGGGCGGGCGGGGGGGGGGGGGGGGGGGGATGAGAGGCATGGAAGCTAAGGGGTTAGGATAGGAGGATGCCCTAAGGCAGGGCCTGACTTGTGGTCTCTGTACCCTTCAGGTACAGAGGTGAAGGGTTTACAAGGGTATGTGAGAGGTCGTTTGGAGCAGTGGGTAGAGTCAGGGTGGGAAATGATAGGGACCTGTCCAGATCTAGTTTGATGAGATCACCTTGCTTTGTGGAGGGGGTCAGGTGGGGAGTTCCAGTGGGAACCTAGGACTGGCCTGGGTGAGGTCGTGGTCTCTGTGTGAGACAGAAGTGGCAGAGAGAATACAGTCTAGCGGAAGTGGAAATGGGCATCCTTGGGGGGGACAGGTGGGGAGTTAGGCAACAGAGACTCTTTCCTGATGAGGAGTAATGGATGCACATCAGTATAGCCCGAATTCTAATTGGTCTTCATGAAAACCCAGAGCCAGATATCGGGGTAAATGCTGAAAGATCAGAGAGACAAAGGAACAAGCCACAGCCAGCCACCTCTCACCTCACCAACTCCTCAGCCAAAAGGACTGAGTTCCTGTCTCCTCCCGCCTTGTATTCCTTTCTCTGCCCAGCCTCAACCTGTCTCAACCTCCCTAGTACTGAAATTAAAGGCGTGTGTGCCTCCCAAGTACTGGGAGCAAAGGCATGAGACCCCAAGTGCTGGGATTAAAGGTGTGTGCCACCACTGCCTGGTCTCTATGGTTAACTAGTGGCTGGCTTTGCCCTCTGATCTTCAGGCAAGCTTTATTTGTTAGAGCATCCACAAAATATCACCACATTTCCCCTTTTTGTCTAAAATGAAAAAAGATTATAACTAATACAATATACAAAAATCTAATCCAATGTAAAATATTTAAAACTAGTAGCTGCTTTTTAAAAGTAGATTCAATAATCTACCTTTTTATCTTATCCTATCTATACATCAGTGTGTACACATAGGAAGCATAAAACTTGGTGAAGGACAATGTATGTACAGGCCAGGACAACTGTGCTATAATCAAGATACTGAAGGTATCACTGCCCCCCTAAGTTTCTCTTGCCAACCCTCCTGTTCCCCACCTCCACATCCAGACAGCCATTGCTCTGCTTTATGTCATTATAGATTAGGATGCCTTGCAGAGGTTTCTTCGAGTGGAAGCATATATGATTAATATATACTCTCTGCTCTCTGCCTGTCTTCTTTCATACAGCATAATTATTTTGAGACCCACCCAAAGAGGACATGTGGATTCTTCTTTGGGTTTGGTTAAGTCTGTAAAGTCTGATTAGGTCAAAGTCAAGTCCACAGACAGCAGCCTCTCCACCGGCTGCCCAGACGAAGCTTGTTACAAATGCAGAGCTTCGGGGCTGGGAATGTAGTTTGGTGGGTAGGGTGTTTGCCTTGCACGCCTGAAGTACTGAGTTTGAACCCCAGCACCGCACAAACGGGCATGGTGGCATACACCTGTAATCTCAGCACTTGGGAGGTAGAAGCAAGAGCATCAGAAGGTCCAGGCTAGCCTAGGCTACCAACAAGAGCCTCCGGTGATCTGTAAGCACTGCGACAGTTAAGCTCGACAGGCCGAGTGAGCTCTCTGAGACCACAGTTTACAGCTTAGGCCTTCTTTTTTTTTCTTCACCAATGAGAGTCAGGTGAGGGACAGGTGCGGAGTGACTCCCATGCAACAGCTGATATCATGATACAGTTTCGCTTTTGTCTCACATTTTCCCTTGCATATTTCTCGTCCCCCTGGTCTCAGTCTCACAGATGGCCACTCTGATGGGTTTGGAATCTGTTGTAAAAATACTTAATGTCATTCTGCGTGCTCCTGCCTTTTAAATTTACACACACTTTATTATGCTTCAAATCTCCCACTCCCAAATTTTCTCAGCACCATCTTGCTCTCCCCACATCTTCCTGAGGCTGAGTGGTCCACAGCAACCGAGTCCCACCACCTGTTACCCATCTCATCCTGACAGGCTAGGACTATCAGCAAGGCCTCCAGCTTGCCTCCACCATGAACAGCTTTCTCCCTGAAGGCCAAGCTTGAGTCTCCATCGTGGCCGCAGACTAAATGACCTCAGCCCGCTTCAGCTGTGATGGCTTCTTTCGCAAATGAAAGCCCGTGGTGAGTTGTGAAGCCCCTGTGCTGTCAGACAGGAGATCTGAACAGTTATGTTTTCCTCTGAGTTAAGTTTGTGGCTGACACCGCAAAGGGGCTTCGATCCTTTGATCGGCAGAGTCCCTGAGCCCTTGGCGGTCCCCCTGAGCGCTTGGAAGTTTTTTACCTTGTGAATAATACAGCAGCTGCTCCAGGGAGCTGAAGGGTTGCACCGGTCTGCAGGCCTGTTTTAAAATCCCAATTCTGCCAACTCCTCAAATGGGAGTGACAGTTCCTGCTCCCGTGTAATCATTTATAGATCAGGTAATGATTTCCCCCTTGGCGTAATGACAGCGCTATTCTTGGGGGAGCTGGTCAGCTTGTCAAATACTGCTGATGTTCCCTTTGGTGTGGGCTGGAAGGATCAAGTGCGGTGGCTCTATGTACTGTCTCTCCTCACTTCTGGTAGCAAAAGTCACCTCTTTCGGAGGACTCTTGACTTGTGATGGGGACGTGAGGACTGGCAGTCTATCTACCTTTGGTTCTGAGGTCACTGGAAGGCAGCCTGCCTCCCTCCCAGTTCCCCAGGCTGGAAGTCCTGACAGGGGCTGTCTTAAGATGGAAGAGGCTGAGCACATGGGGTCCTCTGTGGTCAGGAAGCTTCCCAGTGACCTTATAGTGGAGCTCAGTGACTGTTAAGTAAGACTATATGGCTGTGGCTGGTCGCCTAAGTGGGTATTGCTCTAGAACTTTCTCCAGTGGAACTTTTCCTTATCAGGGGCAAGCAGAACAGTGCTGGTAGACCCAAGAAGACTGTACCCAGAATTACCACACTCTTGAAATGGGCTCCGCTCTCTGTTTCCTGGGCTGCCGACCGGCACTTGTCTGCAGCATCTTCCCTAAGAAGCAGGTGTCACAGTGCACACCTGCAGTCCCAGCACTTGGGGAGGTGGAGGCAGAAGGCTCAGGAGTTGAAGGACATCCTTGGCTACATAGTAAGTTTGAGGCTAGCCTAGGATATATGAGACCTGGTCTCAAAAGAACCAAAAAGAAGCCAGGCCTGGGTAGTGTCTTAGAAATGGAAGCCGAGAGGAACACAAGTTCAAGGCCAGCCAGGACTACATTGCAAGACCATATCTTAAAAAATATTTTCCCCCTTAAGAAGAATGGGAGCCGAGTAGTAGGACATGTAATCCTAGGCTTTGGAAGGTGGTGGTAGGAAGGTCAAGAATTCAAGGTCAATTCAGCTGCTTTTTACACAGTGAGTTTGAGGCTGGTCTGGGCTACTGAGATTGTCTTTAAAGAAAATAAAAAGGATAGAGAGGTCTGTGTCTGTGGTTCCCAGTGTCGGTCTGTGGCTCTACAGTTATAAATGTAGCCGTCCTTTCATGAACAAGCTTAGGACAGGAGATACACTGGCAGGGCTTCCTGAAGCTGCTCATCCACTCACTACTAAGCACTGTTCTTTATTCTGAGACTGTCATCCTACATCCTTGGGGGTCATGAAATTGGGCTGGTCATAGAAGATAATGGAAGATGATGGGAAAGACCTTATGTGTCTAAATAGAAAGCTGGCAAATTTCTGATTGGCCTCTAGTGTGTATGTGTGTACAATGCGGTGCATAAATTTTACCTGTCCTCTAGTAGCTGCATTTAGAGGGACTCTTGATTCTCAGCTTCTCCCCCAAATGAATATCTAACACACAGGATCCAATTTGTGCCTAAGTAATAGGTTACTTTGTTTCTAATAATGATTTTTGCTAAGATAAAAATCTTTCCTTTAGAAAAGGAGCAAATTCACAAATTGGGTTAATTTAGCAAACATTTACATCTTAATGAATAGATTCTGTCAAAATCGCATAAGTTAACGTGTAAATATGCAAGCAGCCCAGAGGAGTGAAGTATGGTGGGCGGAGGGTGACTGCCAGAGCTCGTCTGCTGTAGCCCTGGGACCACATCCAGGGCCACGAAATAGGAAGCATCTAACGGCATCTATCGGTGGCCCTCAGTTCATCTGCTGTATTTAAGGACAGGCTCAGAGTGAGAACGTAATTAAATTGTGGCCATAGAGCTAGACAACTTAACTAGTGCCCCCTCATGCTCCATGTACCAGAATTTAATTTTCCAAATAAACTCGGTGTGGCTTTGCTGCCTGGGGAGGATCAATAGAATGGAAATTGCTTGCAGTTTCCCCTAAAGTGCTACAATGCATCGCTGATCTCCATTGCCCCTCCAAGCTCTTCCCCTCCCCCTCCCCTCGCAGGAGAGAACGAGCCTGGTCTTCATTCCAGGCACACACTGTTGGAGGAAACAGCAAGGAGTAAACGGATAAAAAAGGAAAGTAAAGGACCAGAGCCTGCAGAGGAGGGAGGGCAGGAGAAAACCGCCCCATCCTCCCCGAGGTCTGTGGGGTGGTGCTGACTGTCCCCACACGGGGCACTTTCCAGAGAGACCACCTAGGAGAAACCGAACCAAAGCTCAGGTTTCGAGGATGCTGTAGCCTGGAATGTCACTCCTACTTCTCTCTTCTGGGATGGAGGGGAATGTTCTAACTCCTTCAGAGTCTTACGAAGTGTAGTGTCAGGGAAGGGTCCTGCTAATACTGGCCGGTTTGTTCTTTTGGAGCTCAGCTTGCTGAAGGTGACTGTAAACCACAGATTATCTAGAGGTTTTTTTTGTTTGTTTGTTCGTTTGTTGTTTTTATTGCACTTGAGTATTTATTTGTAGGGAGGGCAGGTGCGGGGAGGGTGCGGGGCGCAGAGCTTTGTGGAGGTCAGAGCCAGTTCTTTCCTTTTCTCTTGTGGGGCCCAGGGATCGAACTCAAGTCATCAGACTTGGTGGGCAAGCTCCCTTACCCCTGGAGTCATCTTACTGGCCCCGTCCTGAGTTTTAATGTGGACTGTTCAAATGTGGGGCCAACTTTAAAGGGTCAAATCTCAGGTCCTTTCTTGTTTCTTGGGAAGATACCAAGGAGCTCCACAGATGGTAGGGGCATGGTACTCTCGGCAGGGAGTTTCCCTGACCCTCAGTGGGGGCTTAGGAAACCCTTCCAAGATCCCAGGGATGGCAGGGAGGCTGGGACCAGGAGAGTAGGAGGCACTGTGGCTCTCCATACTTCCAGTGGGCACAGTTTGGGTGTGAAAAGATGCTAATACTCTTTTCTGTGGGGGGTAGGGACAGATAAGACTCAATCCTCATGCACAGGGCAGTTATAGATCACACACACACACACACACACACACACACACACACACACACACACACACACACACACGGCTTTGATGTTCAGTGGGGTGACATGGGGTCAGGAGTCTTGTGCTTGTCGGCCTTTGTCTCTGGGACAGATACTTGAGACAAACAGCTTCCAGGAGGAAAGATCTCTCTGGCTCATGGGCTTGGAGGTTTGAGTTCACTCTCAGGGAATCCGTTGTGGCAGAGGCAATGGATCCAGGACTGTGGGAGGCAGACATCATGGCAGAAATGGCTAGAGGAAAGCTGCTCATTTGCTGACTGACAGGGGCAGGCGGGGAGGGGGAGGGAGGGAGACAGAGCACGGACATACCCTTCAAACACCTACCCCATAACATACTTCCCCAAACGGAGTCTATCGCCTAACTGCCATCCTGTCCAAATAATGCCACGAACGATGATTCCATGGATGGATGAATTCACTGGTGACATCAGCTCCGGTGACTTCCCGGAGCCCCAGAGTCCTAGTTGACAGCTGAGGCTTTAACACAGGAGTCTTTGACATGGGGTCTGATTTCAGATTCAGAGCACACCAAATCTGAAACCGGTTGGAGCACCGAGGTGGCCTTCCTCTGTGGCATGCAGTGCTCTGCCATGTAGGGTGCTGTTCCTCTTGGTGGGAGCTGGTGAGGCAGGGTGGAGACTCTAAATGGGTGCCCATCACCGATTCCCAGCTCCTCTGCTCCTTCTCTTCCTGTAGAAGAGGCTCCACTTAGAGCCTCCCTACCGCAGGGGCTGTGACACTTTCTGGGGCTGACAGATTGACCCTGCTTCAAGATATCCAGAGAGTGAAGGTTCTGGAAATTAATTAGTGGTGGTTACATGTTGACTACCCAGAGGCTGCAGGAATTTATGGGGGTTTTGTTTCCTTTTTGTCGTGGAATAAGTTAACAGCGTGTGTGTGTTGATTGATTTCCTGCTAAATTCCTTTCTGTCTCAAAAAAGGGAAAAAGGAATATTCTCACAGTTTGGAGTCCCTTGATGCATTTTAATGAACCGCCCTCTGAGAGCTACTTGTTTTCAGTATCCTTTGCCCTCTCCCCAGCCCCTTATGCGGCTGCCAACTCCAGATCCTGGGCCGTGACCCAAGACCAGAGGTGAGCCAGGTACCGAGAGATGAGAAATCAAGCAGGCTTGGCTGTTAGAATCTACAAGAACAGGGTGGACATCCAAAGGACGGAGGAGGCCATTCAGCTATCATGCCCCACCCAGGTCTTGAACTTGTTTTTGTCTGGATGTGCTGTTCACAGTCAGAGGTAGAGCCTAGAGTCCAGCTGGGAGATTCGGACAGAGCCTGGTGGGTAGGAACAGTGTGAGGACAGGGCTCTAAACAGCCTGGGCGCACGAAGGCGGTAGGGAAGCCCGTCTCACCCGGTTCCAGGTGACCCCCATGAAGTACTGCCTGCTCTCTGGCCCGTGGCAGGCAGAGTACCTGTGTTGCTTTTGGGAGCTGGTGATGTTTACTAGGGCTTTAGTGGGGGTGAAACTGGAGGCGGGGGTAGGGGGACTCAGATCACAGCTGTTACTAATTTAAAATATGACGTCCCTCTCCTCGCACCCCCTGGGAGCCCAGGAGAGGAATTATTGAATATGTGACACAGGCAGAGAGAGAGCTTACTGTGCAGATGAAGCAGAGAGGAGAGTGATTGCTGCATGCGTGATGTAAGAGGGGCCGGTCACCACGTAATTAAACACACAAAGTTCAGCGCAAAATAATTGCCTATATGTTACAGGCATGACACATGGGAAGTTCTCAGCCTTTTTTTTTTTTTAAATTC